CAGGAGGATGAGGAGAAGGATGAGCAGCAGGAGGATGAGGAGAAGGATGAGCAGCAGGAGGATGAGGAGAAGGGGGCAGGTTGAGGAGGGAGATGGAGGGAGTGGGAGGATGAGGAGGGGGCAGCACAAGGATGAAGAGGGGAGGGGAGAAGGGAATGGCAGCATAAGGAAAGGGAGGATGAGGATGAGGATGGGATGGGAGAGGGTGAGAAGCCGAGGATAAAGAGGGGGCAGGATGAGGCTGAGGAGGGCAGGGAAGGAGGGGGGGAGGCTGAGGAGGGAGCAGGACAAGGAGGGGGTGCGAGGCGGAGGCTGAGGAGGGGTGGAGGAAGGCAAGGCGGCCGTGCTAACCGTGTCTCCCCGCTGCCGCCTCCGGGCCCTCTGGCCCTCACGTACCATTTGTATGATGGCGTCGGCCTCGGCCTCCAGCTGCCGGACGGCGGCCTGGATGCTGCCGGCCGCCCCCAGGCCCCCGGCGCCTGCGGGCACAGCGGGGTCAGGGCGGGCGGCGCGCGGGGGGCGCGGGGCGGGGGCCGGGGGGGTCCCTTACCCAGCCGGCCGGGGGGCTTGGCCTTGCGGTGCGCCCGGCGCGTGTCGTCCCGCAGCTGGATGATGACCTGCAGCACCCGCAGGAAGAAGCGCTGCGTGGACGTCTTGGAGGTGAGCACGGACATGGAGGGCAGCTGCAGCTCCCGCCCGCCCAGGGCGCGCTTCTGCGACGCCACGATCACCACGCTCTCCGCCGTGTCGAACCTGGGGGCGCGGGGGGACCGGGGTTACCGGCAGGGACGGGCACACGGCGGGCACGGGAACGGGGCACGGGGTTCTCAGGAGCGCCCGGGGCGGGAGCACGGGAAGGGCCCAGAGGACGCCCGGCACTCACCGGCTCTGCATCTTGCCCTTGAGTTTGGCGCTGGGCGGCTGCTCCTCGGGGAGCCCCTCGGGGGAGGGGGCCTCGAGCTGCGCCCGGCGCTGCTGCTCCAGGTTGTACTCACGGAGCTCGGCCAGCAGAGTCCCTGGGGGGGGCAGGGGGGAGTGTCATGGGCTGGGACCCACCCTGGGACCCCTCCTCGCCGACCTCGGGGTACAGGATCCCCCTAGACCCCCCCTCACCGATCTGGAGATGCAGGGCCACCCTCTCACCGATCTGGCAGCCCATGGCCCCCCCAGGCCCCCCCTCACCGATCTGGAGATGCAGGGCCACCCTCTCACCGAT